TTGGTATATTGTTCTGGTTTTATTTATATTGAATGATTAATGCATTGCGATCAGGAAAACAAGTCAGGCATATTAAATACATATTAAGGAGTACATATTTTCCTATTTAGTATACAAAGTATTTCATAAATATGAATTATATTACAAAAATAATTTCTGCTACGCTCACACAGTAAGCACTTTGACAATTTCGGACAACCCGTTAGAGTTGCAAGTGTTTCACATAACTGAGAAGGAACTCGAGTTTTAATTGGAGATGAGTCTTACAGCAGATTCTGCATAAACATCAAATATTTTCTTCAGATGCCACAAATACTGCAGAAGTCAGGTTGAACTGTTTTCTTACCTTTTTTTTTTTTTTAATTTTATGTATAGACATGTATGTTTCAAGTGGTCAAATTTATTTCATATGTATGTAATTCATGGTATATTTTAAACAAATATTTTCACAATTTAACATTATAATTCCAGTGGTTTCAAGATGCAGGCCATAAATGTAACCAATTTACACATACTATCGAATGTTCTCTCTTTGCATGCTTGTTACTTTTCAGATAATCTTTAAACAGTGCCATTACAACACCACAAAAGGATTACTCCAGTTCCACCAACTTAAATCCACGTGCAGGATGAAGGACCCAGCTGAGGTATGAACACCAGTACCAGGTTTCTTGTGTTTGCTCTAACAAATCACAAGGAGACGATGGTTTTGCATTTAAGGTACAAAACGTATATGCCTCTTGAGGTTAAATTCAGTGTAATGTGTATAAAGCATCCCTTTGGCAATAGAGTTTGCAGTATCCCTATAGGATTCCACAGGGTATGAGCTTTATGTAGTAAAATCTATTAAGGAGATTCTCCTCTACTTCACAAGTCATATGCAGCTACAGTTAATCAGACACCCCTGGATACACCTGCCTCTATGCCTATCAATATAATATAGTATTTGGAAGTTAAAAGTCAACAAAAGGCACTTTCATCATTAAATAAATGTCCTCTGTAGGCAATAAGATTGCATGATCTATATTTTATTCAAAGCTGTTTGTTCTTCAAGGACTTGAAGGTAGTCAGGTGAACCTTGAAGTTTAGCTTTTAGTTCAAAATATTCACTTTTCCTTTGTTCTACTACAATTTTACTATGATTACCACCTATTAGAGATTTCTTGTTTTTTTTGTCTTGTTGTTTCTCTGGGTAACGTATTTCAAAGCCACTGACCCCTATGCTGTTGTATTCTTTTTTACTTTCAAGGAAATTTTGAATAAATACATTGGAATCCCTCCCAGGGAATAACTCGTCCAGTTCATCGATTGTGCTAAGTCTTTTTCTTGTGTCCACATGCAATAAATCCTTCTCCTTGTCATTAATATTTCTCAGAATGACTTTTTGCCCTGGTGGATCAGCAAACGTGAAGCCCGTTTCAGACTCCTTTAAGCCACAAGTATGGCTTTTACTCATCTGCTCAATGGTTTGAGGAATGAAGGCCTCTGCGCCTAGTCCGTCTTTTTTGTTTGACTTGTGATCATGCTTTCTTAGCTGCAGTTGCATAGAACTGCATTCTTGATTTCCAATCCCTTCATGCTTTACAGTTGGTTTTTTGTTGCGACGAAGCACAAAAACAAGAAGACAAAAAGCAACAAACACTGTTAAAATAAGCACAACTAATATGCTTAAGATTAGGATGGACAATGGAACTGGGCCACCAGGAGGACTCCGAACCGGTCCCAGTGGTGTAGTAAAAGAGACAGCGGGCATGGGACTAGTGAACAGAGCAGATGGCTTGTTTAAAAGTTTAGGACAGAGGATCTCATTTTTCAGAGACTTAAGTTCAATGTTAGCAAACTGTACAGGTGTTTCACATTTTAATTCCTTCACCACAATACCTTCATTTAGTTTTTCAAGCCACAGTTTTAAAGCAACTAAATCACAAGTGCAGTCCCACGGATTACCTTCCAAATCAATTTGTGTAAGAGATTTTAGCTGATCAAGAACACCACTTACAGGTAGGTACATGAAATGATTGTTCCTCAGATTCAGCCTGGCAAGCGGTGCCCCAGCAAAAATGTATGCTGGCAAGCTGCGCAGAAGATTGTTGTTCAGGTAGAGCAACTGCAAATTTGGCATCAAGTCAAAGGTGCCTGCTAAGATTTCTTTGATGACATTGTATTCCAAATACAGATACTGCAAGTTGTGGAGGCCAGCAAACATTTCTGGGCTCAGACGCTCAATCTGATTGCCATTGAGATACAATCTCCGTAAATTTGTAAGGTTGCGGAAAACTTCTCCTTTGATCGCTGAAATCCGATTGCTGCCTAGATGTAGTAAATCCAGCCCCTCAAATTCAATGAAATCTGTAGTGTCCACATCCTTAATATAGTTGCCATTTACATGCAATTTCTTGGCATTTAAAGGTTTTGGTAGGAGTTCAGCCATTGACTCTATATTTCTTTCTTGGCAATTTACACTTAATCCCAAGTCTGAAGGATGTGTTTTGCAAATGCAGGGGACTGGGCAAGGAGTTAAAGGAGGCACCCTGGTCTGATAAGATACAATTTGACTGAGATTACGATTAGACAGTGCTTTGCCTGCTACTATCCCCGAGATCTTTGAAGGATTTGTAGTCTTCGGCGGCTTTGTGACTAATCTGTGCACTGATGTTTGAGTGGTGTGGCCATTTGGTGTGCTGTAACCAGGCTCCAGCTGCGAGGGAGGTAGAACACGCACATCAAAATCACTCCCTGTCCCCATGGAGCACAGCTCTTGCTTGTTGGTTTCTTTCAGCAACCTTCCATACAAGTCACTGGGAGTTTCACAGATAGCTTCTCCAATGTAGATATTATAGGGCATGTTCTCCAGCCATGCTTTCAAGGGCAACAAATCACAAGTACAATTCCAGGGGTTGTCTTCCAGCTGTAATTCGACAATTCGCCCAATGTGTTCCAGGACTCCAATGTATGGAAGCTTCTGTATTCGATTCCCTCGTATATCCAGATGGGTTAGAGAAGCAAATCGAAAAATATTATCGGGAAGGAATGAAATCAGATTGTCATTAAGGATAAGGACTTTCAGCTTGTGAAGCTTATTAAAGGCTCCCCGTTCAATAAACTTGATTAAATTGTAGTCAGCTTGGAGATACTCCAAGTTCTCTATGCCCAGGAAAGTGTCAGCTCGGAGAATCTTTAATTCATTGTTGTTCAAGTGCAACTGTTTTAATGCACTAAGACCCATAAAGGCCCCTCCCTCAATGTTCTGTAACTTATTATTACCCAATTGCAAGGACACTGCATGTGTGAAATTAAGAAAGGTATTTGGATATAGAATAATAAGCAGGTTGTTTTGAAAATTTAGGTGGTAAAAATTAGACCATGGTGGTTTAAGCTGATTTGGTCTGTAGACTGCAACCTTCTCACAGTTGACATAAAGTACATTCTCAACTGACACACAGGAGCAAACATTGCAAATTTCCACAGATATATCAGCATCTGCAGTTGTAGAAGAAACTGGAGATGACAGAACCAGAAAGAGCCACAGAAACATCTTCTTGTGATCAGCAAGCAACCTTAGGCTCCTGAACAAAGATAAAGAATCTAAAGAAGAAAGAAGGAAAGAAAAAAGAAAACGTTTTTCAGTTGTCATTGTTCCAAAAAGTCATTTGGGTTAAAAATTGTATTCCACTGAGCTACTGTACCTGCCAAGGATTATAGATAAACTACAAGCATTGAATTTAAAATAACATGAAAGATTTTAACAACCAAACAAATACACAGGAGCTAGAATTTCAAATACAGAATGTAAATCTCTGTAAACAAACACAAATAACTTTAAGGTCTGTCAAATATATTTCTATCTGTTGTACATGACAAACATGCATAGCTAACAAAGTAAAATAACCAAAGGAGATTCCAATTTTATGCATATTTACTCTCCTCAGCCCTGCACTGCTCATATGTTGCTGTGCGTTTCAGGGATATTAAACATAAATGCTGATGTTATGCATGCCCAAGCATCTAGGTTGGGAAAGCACCATATAGAAAGGATGAAGATGCAGGCACAGAAGAGAATGTCAATACTCAATGTAGGTATCTATAGCGTTGACGCATACAGGTTATCACTACAGTAAGAGTGAAATTCACTCAAGGGATACACAGGCATGCACAAATATAGTTTCTGTCTCTTGTTATACCCAGTTTAAAAGAATTGGTGGTACATTGATCACAGAAATACAATGAGTTATCCACAAAATGAGAAGATCAGCTCCGGGTGACCAATGCAAGCACACAGATATGGAAGAAGCATGCACAGGCATACAGCCCCATCCCCCGGAATAACAATACCCTGACTTGCAGGGTATTCAGCCACAGTTTGCCAGTTTGACACTACTGAAACCTGCCTGAGAGGAACTTTTTTTTTTAAAAAAAAAAAAACACAAACAAACAAACAAACAAAAAAACTTATGCAATTTGCTCTGATCCCTGCACTGATACAGCAGTGGCTTTCAAGAACCCTCCACATATTGTCAGGCCAGCTGAGCTGCCATTTTTCACGCAGAACTGGAGCCACAGCATTTCCTCTGAGTTAGAAGCTGGATTTCCCCCCCCGTCCCCCTTTTAAAAAAATCAGTCAATAATCGATGCATTACTCCCCCTCTCATCCCACTCCCCCATCCCTCCCCCACCCCCAGCTTTCCCATTGCCCCATTTCCCAACTTGTTGTCCCTCTCAATTCCCGCTGTGGGAAGCCACCGAGTTGAAAGGAGGGAGCCAGGATGGAAGTGGAAAAAGCAGGAGCCAGCTGGAGGGAGGAGAATCGGGCTGGAGGGAGCCACAGGGAGGAGAGGATGCGCCGGGGGACCTGGAAGGGAGGGCAGAGGAGGGACAAGGGAGGAAGGAAGGGAGGACAGAAGGACACGAGGGAGGGGGAAAGCGGAGGGAGCAAGGAAGGGAAAGGGAAAGGGATGGCTGAAGGGGTCAGGGAGGCCCCGGAGAGGGGCCAGAGGGAGCAGAGGGTGCGGAGCAGCAGCTGCTGATCCCCGCGGGCTGCCGGCCCTGCCCGCGGCGAGAGTGCCCGGGGGCAGCCCCGCGCCCCCTGCCCCAGCTCCCCCCGCCGTATCCCTGCCTCGCCCACGCTCGGGTCCCCTCCTCTTCCTCAGCCCCGGGGCCCCGGCCGGTGCCGAGCGGGGACGCGGCGCGGCGCTGGGGCGGCGAGCCCGGCCAGGAGCGCAGGCACTACCGCAATTTTTTGCCGCAACACGGTGGCCGGAGCCGGCTTGCCTGGTGCCGGCTCCCCCGTGCCGTGGGCGCCCCGTCGCCCTCTGCCTCCCGGCGAGGGAAAGCAGGCGGGGCGCGGGCGCACACGCTCCGCGCACACCCGGCGGCTGGGAGCGGGCACAGCGCGGCGATGCAGCCCGGCATCCATCCCTTCCACCCCTCCGCAACAAGGTACAGCCGTGTGCCCCCCCCGCTCCCCCCCCCTCCGCCTCTTCCCGCACCTTTGCAAAGTCCAGCCCGCAGGGCATCCATCCTCACGCCCTCTCCCCCAGCCCCGCCGCACGGATCCTGCCCTCCCGTCCCTCCCGCGGCTCATGCAGCCCCGCCGGGGCTCCGGGAGGCGGCCGGCTGCCGGGGAGAGGCGAGCGCGATGGAGAGGGCTCCGGCAGGAAGCCACCGTCTCCTCAGCTTTGCACCCCCCCCCATCCCCCTTTTAAAACAGCAATAATCATTACAGTAGTAGCAACAAATTCCGAGCAATTAAAACGCCACCGCAAACGCCGCGGCCCCCTCCCCGCCCGCACTCGCACGCCCGGCGGGGCGGCCGGCCGCCCCCGGGGACTGGGGGGGATGCTCGGCGGCCGGCTCGGCACCCTCCCTACCTCGGCGGCCGGGGGTCGTCGCGGCCCCGCCGCGCTCCGCTGCTCTCCCCTCGAAGTCTCCCCGCCGGCAGCTCCGCGGAGCCCCCCTCCCCCGGGGCTAGCACCCCCCGGCGGCGCCGGGTGCGGAGCGGAGGCGCTGCCCGGCGCTGCGGTAGCCCGGCGAGCTCCGCCGCATGCAGCAAGCGCCCCGCCGAGCCCTGCCCCGCCACCGCGGTCCTCCGCACACATGCGGGGAGAGGATCCCTCTGCACACGGGCGCCCGCTCCCATCGCACTGCTCTCGCCCACCCCTTGCACGCAGCAGAGAGCCCCCTCCCCTTCGCCTCGCACACAGACGCACACACGCTCGGAGAGGGAAGGAGACGCCGCTCCGGGGAGGCAAGCCCAGCACATCGCAGCCTCCAAAGCCTCTCCCGCACACGCCGTTACCTTTCCCGGAGAGATGCCGGGCTGCGCCCCCGGGGAGCTCGGGCGGCTGCGGCGGGGCGGGCGGCGCCCCCCGGGGCGGTGAGAGCGGCGGGGCCCCGCTGCTGCTGCCATGGGCGGCCGCAGCCACAAGTGCAGCCCGCGGCACAGCCGGGACGGGGCCAGCCCGCCCCCGGCCGCCCAGCACCGCGGTGCTGGGAAAGGCAGAGAGGGGGAAGGAGAGGAAAGAAAGGACCCCCCCTCCTCTCCTCGGGTTTTCTGACAATTCCCCCCTCCCCCGCCTTGAAACAAAAGTAGAGGTGGAAACTGAGTGGGCAGGACGGTAACATTTGCTGCATTCAATGTGAATCGCAATTATGGAACAAAATCACTGTGAGGAGACGTAACCAACCCGTTCTTAAGACAACGCGGCTATTTGTGCATCTTATTCTTTGTGGTTAGGTGAAATTCCTCCTCTGCTTAGGTAACAGCTGCAGTCTGATGAAAAAAAAATCCTCCAATGTTAGGCACTTGTGCAAAACAGATTCTGCTAATTTAGAACTCCTATTTACTCTCCATTTCATAATATGAGTTTAAAAGGTAACGAGTACCCCTGAACAAGGTGACATCTCTTTCCCAGGCAGAAGAGTCAGTTAACCAAATGAAATCTTGCAAGGGGAGTTCAACTGTTTGTCCTTTACTGTGAACGCTAACATAATTTCACATAGAAAACTGGTCATGTATTGCACCCATACCAGTGGTAGTTTGGGGTAGTAAACATCAAGGAATGGAAAAACAGCAACTGCTTTCTTCATTTACAGATATGAAATAAATAGCTTGCTCTGAAAGCTGTCTGCATCTAATTGAAATAATTGCAGAATGTTATTTTGCATTATGCGGATAGACTGATACCTGAAAACAAATGCAGCTGAGACATCAATAATTTGCATATCACAACAGAACTGAAAGTGATCTATGATTAATATTCAGCCAATTAAAAACTGAAGTCTTTAAAATGTAAACTCCCTTAATTATTGAACTATTAACAAAGTACTATTCACATAAAAGGGAATGCATGTATAAAAAGGGCCCTGTTTAGAAGGATTTGCTTATAGTTTAAGCTGTTTTTCTCTATTGCTTTATTTAAATAAACTTCTAGAATAGAGAGAATAGGTTTATAATAAAATTAATTTAGAAAAATATCTGGCTTATAAGTATATTTTAACAGGCACAGAAATGCAGGTGTACAGATGAAGGTGCCAGTTTTGTTTAACCAGCTATATTAAGCCGGATGTTAAAAACTTCCTTGCTCATTTAGTAGGTGAAACACCATAAAGTTGATATCAAAGACAGATCCCTACTCCCACCACCATTCCTTGCTTAGAGACCGAATCAAAAGTCAACCAAGGAGCATAACAAAAGATCATATTTTGACCAAGTAAACCAAGAAATGAAGAAGCATTGAAGAGAACTGCAATTGTGCTATAACTAAATAATTCTTGATGTTTGTATTACAAGTGGCTATTGACAATGACATATGTTCATGATGCTGTAGAACTTATCTGACAATGAAACTTAGTTATGCAACACAATTTAATTGTTCAGATTTTAGTATGCCGTATAGTTTTTTTTTATTATTTCTGATTTGCAGTCATGAAAAATAACTCCTCCTCCAAATCTTATTTAAGTGGTTCTAAGCCACTTGTCCTAACCCACAACATGTCAGACTCACTAAGATTTAGGCTGATACATCAGGACAACAAACCAAACCAAGCTGAGGATAAAGTATAGTATAAGCATGAGCTTAAAGTCAAGATTGTGATCTAAGATGATTGCATGCTTAAGGAATAATTCAGTTTAAGCGGTTACATCCTAGAATCCTAGGGGTTGTACCCCCTTGAGATCTAGACTAAACTTCTGTCATCAACAGTAGAAATTTTCTAGGTAGCCTGGTGGTAGATAGTAACTGGAAGACAGAAGAGACAGAAAGGCCAAGTCAAACTATCTAGTCTGGTTTCCTGAAGTTTCCAAGATTACTTCAGGCTACACACCATGCCCATTATTGACATCTCTCACCTTTTCTTAAATGTCTAGTTGTGATGGAACCTCATTTATTCCTCTTGATATTTTTTTTTCCTCTGGCCTGTCTGTTGTTTGCTACAGGAACATGTATTTTTCTTCAGTTTAGAAAAAGGAGAGCAAAAACTATCAAGCAGATAGATTAGTAACATGGTATTTTGCAAAGAGACGTATCAGGAAGAAGTGGAAAGGTGAGATACACCACTCCCCACTGAAGGAGACATGCACGAGTGGCATTCAGTAATAGTACAGTTAGCTTATAAATCATGTCATTACTGCATCTAAGAGAAGTTAATGGCAGAGCAAGGTAATTTTTACTTTTGGCTACTGAAATTCATCATGTAATCTGCTCAGAAACTATATTTAAACTTATTTATATTTTGCTGCCTTTCACATTTCTGTGAGAGCTTCTATATAACATTTTCCTTCTAAATACACAGACATGCTTGGTCACCTACCTCTCCCAAGTTACTTCTGGGCTGTTGCAAGAACCTTAAACTAAAACTGCATTTGATGTCTGTCAGGAGAAAAATCTTCAGCAACACAATCATCAAAATGCAGAGGCCAGTTGAAATGCTGAATGTCCTGCCCACAGCCCAAAACTTTGGAGAGCATTTTCCGTAAGCTGCTAATTACACAGGAACATAGGATTTCAGCTTAAGTTAAGGGAAGTACTTTTCAATGAATTACTTTTTTATTTTGACCACAGTAATTTTATGAAAAATGAACTGACAGGAAATGAGAGCTAAAAATCCTAAGCATTCTGTGGGAGATTTACCTGCACATTTTAAGTTTGCAGATGACACCAAGTTAGGTGCATGTGTCAATCTGCTTGAAGGTAGGAAGGCTCTGCAGGAGGCTCTGGATAGCCTGGACTGATGGGCTGAGGCTAACTGCATGAAGATTATTATCTGAACTGAGGCTGCATTTGTACATATGTGTGGGGTTGTTTAACACAATTGCTTACGTCTCATAAATGCTTATGTCCTGCTTATGGCTGCAAGAGCATCCTAAATGATTGTTCCCCATGTACTGAATTGCATGTTTCTGCTCTCTCCCCAGTTTGTCTGTTGCAATCCTGAAATTTAAAAAAGGGTTAGTACCCTCTAGTTTGAACTAACAAGAGATACTGATTGCCCACACACCTGTGGTTCTTGAAATCTGAAGACAAAGACTAGAAATTGCAATTACCATGACCAGCTGGGGAGCAGGCCTTAGTTGTTCATGCATTGACTTATGTGCTGGCCAGCTGTGAGCAAGCCTGGTGTACCCTGCTGCCAAAATCATACCTGGGAGAGAAGCAGTGTGCACACAGTTATGTTTGGGTTGCTCTGTTTGAAAAGGTTCATGCCAGAAGACGAAACTCTCATAAAAGTCACCACAAATTACAGGGAATTACTATGAATTGGACTCTAATTTATAATTATTATGTTAACACCACACATTATGCCTTCCTTCTCAAAAAGAATGATAAAGACAGACCAACAGTTAATGTTGTGATACTTTGCACAGGGCCCAGGTAGCAAAGAAACTATTTCATTTAAACACATGGGAAGCTGGTTAACAATGCTTTGAATAAAAAGTAAAGGCTCATGTGGGCTTTGTCTGCTTCTGGAGTTTCCATGGTTAAACAATTTCTGTTTAACAAGTCTACAGCATGTTTCTGCTCACAGATAAATCAGTAACAACTGCCATACTCAGCAAACAACAACCAACACAGCAAAATACAACAATGACTACAGAGAAGCATCTTATAATAGGGCTTCAACTGATAGGACATAGCCTTTTGAGGAGGAAAAAAAAAAAAAAAGGCAATAACTCTACTCATTGTCCTCGTCTCCTGTGTATTTAGCCAGACTGTCTGTCAGAAAAGGGGGAGGGAGAGCATCCTTGAAAACTCTGTATGTACTGGAGTGAGTCTCTGCATGTGCATCCTTTTAAAGGTACAGTGTGATAGGAAACAGTGTGAGTCTGAAATACACTGAAGGCAGAACCACTGTGAAAGAGTACTGTGCTAAATAAGGTGGAAGAAATGCTGTCAAATACACGTCTCTGCATGGCTCCATATTATTTCTACCTAACTTACTCCATTTTATCTAGGAGCCCTCTTCAATGTGCAACAAATAACCTATCACCTGCTCCAGGAAAACATCACCCAAGAAAACACTGACATATATGCATCCCTTCAACGAGGATTGGTAGGGGTTTTTCATTCCATTTTTTCCCAGTCATTTGCAATGAGTCAATTTCTTGAAAGTTTGATAAAGTAGGCATGCTGCTGGTATTGGGTCTGCTGACTTTGTAAACTCAGCCTGGGCGGATGTGCAGCCCCATAACAGTACTCTTGCCAGATATAATGGTCAGGGCACAGTGGGCAGGCATTTAAATTCATTAAATTGCAATATGCCAGTGCAGTGCCATCAGTACATGTTTACTTACTTTCTTTCTCTATGCTTGTTTACCCAGGGATTGTTTAATCTCTAGCTCACTGTTAGAAGCTCAAGCCAAGCTTGGCCTATCCTGCTGTCCACTGAGACAACGAAGAGTGTGAAATAAGAAGACAAAGAAAAACAACAACAACAACAAAGCAAACAAATAAACAAACCAAACAAAAACTAGTGGATGCAGAACTTATCTGAAATATTGCTAAGTAAGACTGCATGATCTAAGGTCAAATGTGAAACATAGAAGCAACTGCTGTTATCCTGCCTAACACTCTTGTAAACTGATTTCTTAGGAAAAGGCATATATTTACAGTAAGGATTCCATGCCACAAAACTCTGATATTATCAAATATTTCTGAATTAGGAAATAATACTATATCCTCCCTGAGTGAATGGCCTATGAAAATAATATAACAATGGTGATGTATTGCAGAGGAATACCAAGTTTAAGAAAATTTGACCCAGGTTGGAAATGATGGAGGACAGAAAGAGGTGCTCTATGAAGGAGAAAAAAATTATCATATGACAAGGCTTGTTTCTTTGGTTGCTTCTAGTAACATATCTTGTCTACTACAATGGAGCAGTTGTAGCTCTCTTTCATGGCATGAATGCCACAGCTGTTAGGCTTCAACCTGGTCAGGTTTGATAGGTTGAGGTCACATAACATTAACAGAATGTGAATAACTTATTTAGAATACTCTAATATAAATTCTCACTGCCTCAAGTTTTTCTCACATGTGAGACTATCCCTTATCACCTTCCAGAACTCCAGAAATAAACTTGTTACATGGATGAAGATGGAAGGTATAACCCTCTTATCAAGCTACCTGGAAGCAGAAAAGTCTCTTACTTTATTTCTTAGACAGTTCACGAATAAAGCTTCATGACAAAAGAGAATAAAGTGATTTTCATCCAGACTAAGTGTGGAAAAAAAAAACACACCTTGCTTTCATAAAAGCTTAAGCTGGTTCTGGATCTTGGATGAAGAGCCTCAAGCTGTGACTTTATGGAACAGGGAATGAGTACAGAGCAACTCGTTAGCTAACTACTGTGTCTCCCAGTATGCTGGGAGGGCCACCTCCCAAATACTGACATTCCTTTGCTCATCAGCTGAAAGATAATTGTGGCAGAATGAACAGACATCTACAGAAGAAGCCAGGTGCATTACATTTGGTGCTTGGTTTAGGGAATGACTTACATGAGGGAGGAAATATCTAAACCAAAATTAAGATATTGCATGAGTTTGCTTGCTGCTCTACTTTAATCTTCTTTTGCTTCTGGGGTTTCTTTTGTAGCTGCCCTAATTTCCTCTAAGTTTACATGTCCTATTAATTTCAGTGAAGACCTCCATGAAGCCTGAAGGCTCATAAACTGACAGACTTTCCATTACTGTTTTTAAAAAATAAGGCATACTCTAGCTTTCCTATTACCTGTAGCTTTTCACAAAGGAAGGTTGGACCACGGTCTTTCAAGAGAGCAGAAATCACAGCTACTTCATTAACTGAGTGGTGACATGTTCTTAAACCTAATGATTATAGACCACTGCTTATCTGATATAAACAGGCTTCAGGGAACAAATGCTGAAAAAGTAATCAAAGAAGAGATGTTTGCTTTGAACAACAAATATTTTGATGCCAAATCAGAATGTTCAAGGAAGAAACTGAGATTTATATGGACATCTCATCTTTTTCAAGAATGTCAGCCCTGCCTGGGTGGAAGGGGTTTTCTCATTAGCTGGCCGCTTCATATAGCTCTCTCCAAGGCCTAAACAACCAACTCAGAAAGTTACAATCCAGGTAAAATGAAATCTTAACAAAGGTTTAAGCACAGTAATATGTAGAGACAGCTCTGCTGTGTTCTCCACTGGATAGATGCACCAGGGAAAGGAAGCTGAATGATGAAAAAGAAGACGGAAAAACACAGAAATATCTGTAAAAAATTAAAGGTAGGTTTTGAGGTGAGTAAAGTGATTACTTGGGGCAGTGAAGACTTTCAAATGACTTGAGAAGACTTTTTTTTTTTTTTTTTTTCCTTTCTTTAACTCCCTACAGCTTACAAACTACTTCAAAAGAAAGAGAATTCTGATGATATAATAGTGCCTTGTAGTGCCTTGTAGTCATGGCACTGCTAAGGGTGTCCTAGCTTTTGACAACATGGTATGTCTGGCATCTACAGATAAAAGTGAGACAGGTGCCTAGAAAAAAAATGACAGAAAAGTAGGTGTGTCAGTAGGAAAGGTCAAGCTCCATTCATGTTTCTATTTACAGGGCAGTTTCATGAAAGAGGCAAGATACCACAGACTGTCCTCACTATTCCTCCTTTTCATGTCCCTACCAGCCAAAGGGGCTAGTCATAGTCCTCCCTTGTGCCATCTCTGTCATTTACTAGAGACTCCTTGAACCACTCATTAACCTCAAAATATTTTTATTTTTTCCTTCTCATGGTTAGGTTAGTTTTCAGCCAGATTAGGGAATGGGATTGGTTTATAATGAGGTCCAGTAGGTGTCAAAGCCTAGCTCCTTACAAGGTGGGAGAGACATGGAAGGATGAACTGAACTGAACACTAGCAACAACACATATTATATCATTTTTACAATGTCCTTTGCAACTTCACAGTCATATAAATACAGGGGAATTCAATTTTAATCAAAGTTTATATAAAAAACAAAAGAAGGAAAGTAAACTCTAGAAGAGTTTGTTCCACTAGAACAAGGTCCAGATTTTCTCACCCTTGGGCCCTTTAACATTTAAAAAGGGAAGATACCTTTTCTCCCCACGTGTCCATGATATCTAATTTTCAGAAGAAACATTTATGCATATTAACAAAATAGTGAAAGATCAAGAGAGATTTATGTGAAAAGTCTAAATCAATGCCTGCATGATGGAAACATCACGGTATAAAGGAGAATTCTAACCTTATTTGAATCCTCTTATGATGAGAGGAGGATATGCCTGTAGAAACATTCTGTATAAGCAAAGAAATCAAATACAATGTCTTTGCTTAATCTCAAGATCTGTGACCTGAATGCTCTTCTGACATACAACATTTCAGGTCTTTTCAAAGATGTGAAGTTATAACCTGCCAGACAAATCGAAAGCCAGCAAGCTCTGAACATAAGGGGAGATGTATTTAATGAAACAAATGATAAAATGCATTAGCACATGTTGCCGACGGAAGGAAGACCCAGCACATCAATATGAGTGAACAGTGAACTTCAACTTTAATGGATAGCTCAGTCGCCTTTTATCTAGTTTGAACATAATGAACTCATACATATTGCAGAAACTAAGCTCAGGATTGGTTAACACTTCCCGGGCTTTTTCGTCTGGTCCTCCTTCTTTTGGCTACCTGTCCCACCTTAGGGACTTTCCCGATGGCCCAAGGGCATCGTGTCCTTGAGCCTGATTGGCCCTCAGCCAGCTGCATACGTGCCAAGGCTCATGTGAGTTGAGTACGGTGCTTCACCAGCCCATTGTCTCCCAACTGCTCAACATTCACATGTCCTGCCTCACTTAACGATTCCTCCACAAGCACATCCATAAAATAAGTAAGAAGCATTGCAAAAGGATTAAGAAGAAAAAAACCTTGACGTATCTTAACAAGAAGACCCTAGCAGGGATCACATAAAACAACTGAAGAACAGACGAGCAGCTGGAAAGAGCAGCAGAGGGGAAAGTTTTAAGAAGCGTGTACAGAATTTAGGAGGTTGGCTAGGAGTGTATGAATAATATTCAGATAGACCTTTATCCACTAATGGAACTGACGGCAGCTGACAATTATAACAACAGTAATGAACCTATCTTATCCATTTTAAGACACCTTGTATGAGGAATTCAGACAGGGGAAAAAAAAAAAAAAAGATTATTCTTTGGTTAGTTAAAATATCATAACTTCAAGGGATTCCCCTTCTGTTCACTCTAAATGGAAAATATACAAAAGCATGATAATTGCAGAACATTTAAATAGGTCATTTAAAATAGATTCTACAGAGTGAGAAGGGAAAAAAAAGCCCTCCCTACTTTAAAGTCATTTTTGAACAAAAAAGGAAGAGGATTACTTTCTATTATCTTCCATGCTTTAGAAGACCAAGAAAGCCTGTAGGTTTACTTTAGAAAGCCTGTAGATTACTTTATATGGCTGCTTTGCCTTAAGATTAGCTGAAATGTGATGTCTTCTTGATGTTTACAGATGCCAAGAGATCTAAGACATCTAATTTTCCCCCTGTTCAGTTTGTTCTGAATACATACTGTCTTGACTTCATGCCTTTTTCTTACCCTATTTTGTGCCATTTTCTCTATCCCAAGACTGTTGTCATTCCTGTGTTTACTGAAAGAAGCTTTCATTGATGTTGCAATGGATATCACTAGATTATAACTTCCCTTGTCAGCATTCCCATTAATAACTGTAGCTTTCATGGGGGTCCTTGAAGTAATTTTTGGACAAAGTCAAGGTGTAATGCATCTTTCACTGAAGCCAATGAAGTCACGTTTCATTTCGTTTAAAATGAGGGTTTCTGATGTTTTCTTATTTTAGTTAAAAGATACACGGCGTAATGACTGTTTGAAAATAAACTTCCATTTCCTATGCAAATCAGGATTTGTTCGTACTGTAAGTATATAAATTGGTAAACTAATAGCATAAAATTCTGTTCAAATATTGCTTACATCCTCAAGTCTCAGCTTGTTAGTTCTGACTGGTGCACAATATCATAAAACATTCTGAAAAGGTTTGTATCTCCATCTCTTTGGACCTTTAAATCTGCTGTATAGATGGAAGGTCAATATGGATACATGCATACAGTGGTCCAAGTTTCAGCTGAGGTCACTGGTGAGTGGGGGTGAAGCTGTCCTTTAAGTTTCAACTTGGCATCTGATTTTTTGAGACCAGCATTTAGTAACATTTCTCCACCTGCACCCACATCTAACCGGGCATTGAAAAGTGCAATTTAGGAGCCAGAGTACAAAACAATGAAGTCAGATAAACTCAGAATGCTCAGTCAGACTGTTATCCAATTTTTGGAAGTAGTTATCTATCCTGCATTATTGTTCTGTTTAGTTCAGGCCTAATATCTCACTAACATCTTATCTTGTTTTTATTCATGTATTTGTTTTCTAAATCATGGAAGAAGACTATCTCAATTCCAGAGATTTACTGAATGGTTGTTAGAATATAGATATTTTTTAGTCTACCAAAGCCATGGTATTTGAGAATCAGTATTTCCTAAATGCATCATAGAGCCTAAGAGCTGAATTTTATGGCCTTTGTTCTGTCAACAATCACCTTTGGATTTATTTCAGATGATGTGACATCTCTATCATACGAAAAATCCCTACCCAACATTTAATCATTTTGTTGTATTTCCCTTATGAGTTATACTGTAATTAATTAGGTATATTAAAAGGAAATATTTTCAATAAAAACTAATTTTCAGCAGTACTTAATACTAAGCAGAACTGGTATCCCTGAGGTAGAGATGTCAGATACAAAGTACAGGAGATCAGAGTGGGGAAACCTACTCCAGAACATTTATCCTGGGACTCTTACGTGGCATCACTACACAGTTCTTTCATAAAGTGTCATTAGGTTCTGAGCTCCTTTCCCCAGATGAAAGAAGTACAGAGCTAACATGTATGTTGGCTTTGTATATTTTACAAACTTTCTGCATCTGAAAAGAATTCAGGAAGAAAATAAACAAACATTTGGAACAAGCAAGCAAAACAGATCAGAAAACACACTGACAGTTCAGTTCAAATCACTTGAAACTTTACCAATGTTTATAGCTAAAATTTAAAATTTAGAAAACATTTTCATTTTCTCTGACAATAAATATTACAAACTATAATATTCATCTCAGCTGATAATGTTCTTTATGGCACATTTTATAAATCAACACAGTTCTCTGTTTTTAACTCCTTATCACTGAGTCTCAGAGGAGAATGAGAAGAACAGGGCTTGAGCCCATTTTTTTAAAACCAGGTGTAAGAAAACTCTTGATGCAATGGCAGGCTTTTGATGCAGGCTTTAGAACAGATTCCGATCTGCAAGTGTCTCTAGTTGCCTAAGTCACCTAACTCTTATTCAGATGTGTAATTTCATTAAAATTTATGAGAATTAGGTATGTTTTTTTGTCTTACTTGCCTTTTGGGGGAGGGGAGAGAGGGGAAGACAAACATTGGGTATGGTGGTATAATCTGATCAAGGATTTCAGTTTTCAAATTCCCTACTATTAATTCTTTGTTCAAGTCACAGTTTCCTCAGCAGGGCTGCACACATCTGCCTTTATGCTGGTCTGTCTGACTAGAAAATCACATCACTTTTCTTTGTGAACTACTTTGAAGGTTTCAAGTGACAAATAACAGGGACTTTAATCCTCTCTTTTTCCAAACAATTTGTAAATCAGAACCATCCAAACACATGTGCAGTGAGAGAGTACGGCCTGTGGTTTGAAGAACGTTATGGTTCACTGCATCTCTCTGAAGTACTTTGAGCTCACATTTCTTAGATTTCATTTCAACAACTCTCTTGTATTCTCTCCAGCCTGCTTTTCTGAAGAGTGGAGCAGCAAACACAGATACACAGAACAACACTTGATAAGACCATTTGTTAAGTAAAATTCTCATCATTACATTCTTGCAGCTTCCTATGATTATGTATAGGTTAATCAAAGACAATTACAGAGCCCTAGTGAAGCTGCCAAAAATCTATTTGGACACACAGAGGAAGACCATATTAATATATACAAAGGCAAGTGTTACATTCTTTGAAATCATTATTTTCACTGCAATGAACAGTAACAAAACTAGGTTTTGAGAAAGGGCAAGCAGTGATTTCTTTGGTGAGTTACTGTTCATTTAATGGCTCCTTAAAAATGATAAGTTTTTCACACTACAGAAAATTGCCTTCCCTTGTATCTGTGAGATAGCATTCTAGCAGTCTGGAAAATGCCCTGGGGGATTGCATTTGTGTTGAAAACACAGTGGGTATCTGCATATCACTGCACCAGGGTGGCCCTGAGACTCTCCCTGTGACCCAAATTAGGTAATAAGCAGACAGCAAGTGGATGTGCTGAGGCATTCATTGTCAGTGTATGGAGCTGGCATGTGCATGATATACAGCCCATGTGCAAGGCACCCAGGTGGGTAGGAGGTGATGGTGAGAGCAAGAATGTTTTGCTCCTGGTATAGGCAGAACTGCTCCAGTTTTGCATCTGCTACCTCATTCCTTAACCTGACACTTGAGTGCCACAAGAGAAGAACCTAACCTGCACTCTTAGTTCTGAGAAAACAAAAGCTCTACCTGTGCTTCTAGATAGCAGATTTTGCTCCCCATTGTGGTACAGGATCAATCAATGTAGATTCACGGCCCAAAATTGTACCTTACTGTGACTTAAGCTCCTCTTGATGTCAAGAGGTGCTTAATATTGGCAACCCATTTCCCACCCACCTTCTAGCCCCACTTTGAATCATTATCATTACGTGGTGTTTTTTATTTTTTATTTTTTTTTTTTTTTTGTCGGTTTGTTTAAAGGGTAGAAGAGGTAAACTATATGTACAACAGCAAATCTAAGATGAAAAAAGCTCTTAGATAAAATTGGACTGCCAAAGTCAGGGGAAGGAAATTATCTGCAAGTACTTTACCCTGTCACCTCTGCGAAATGGAGGAATTGTGCTGGGAGTCAGCTGAAGCAACTGAAAGTATCTTGCATTTCCAGCTGAAGGGAAAGAACTGGAAAGGACAGATATTCCAGACCTGCTCCAGATTTGCTTATTAACCTAGTGCCACCATTTCATGTCTTCCAGAGAAACTGGAGTTGGAGGCCTGGAAAATCTCTGGCAGTGAAGTTGTGCATTTGGGTCACTGAAAAGATTGGAGTCAGTAGCTGAGCACACTGCTGTCACATTTGATGTGACTGAATCTGCCAACATTCCTGTTTAGGAATCTAGGCCTAGGCCCTTCTATAGTAGCAGACAATCCACACTTCCTGCAGGGCCATTTTTCTCACCTTGAGCAGTAGGGCAAGACTCATAGGCCATTGGACTCAAACTCTGAGCAAGTCAGAGACCATAGCTCATAAAGCCTTGTTTGGAGTCTAAGAACAGGCTAATCTGCCTGAGTAGATATATGAAAACTATTGAAAGGCATTAACAATCTCTAAACCAAAACTCTTTGGTGAGACTTTAACTCCTAAAAGTATCTGTTTTGGAAGTGTAACTT